TAGCTGTGGGGTTATGGCCCCCGATACCCACGGTAGGTCACATGGGCTACGCCCCCAAGGGTGGCCCAGCCCACAAGATCAAGGCGTGGACAACACTGGTCAACGTGCACCATAAGATATTGTATAGTACCAAATAGGATACTTTCCTTATAACCCTACCCCTCCAGAGTATATAAGGAGAGGCAGGGGTCCCCTAGTGGACATCGATCTACATACATCTCATATCCAATACAATATAACAAAGACATAGGACGTAGGGTATTACGTTGATCAGACGACCCGAACCTGTCTAAATCGCTATCTCTACGCCTTGTGTCACCATCCGGTTCCTGATTACGCACACCTCCATCGACAAATCTACCATCACGGGATACCCCTCGGTGGACTGCCGAGCATCTTTTGTCGACAACAAGTGAGCAATTCAAGCCTATTTAATACTTGCATTGCTTTTCTGCAGCCATCGGGTCTCATTTTCTTTGGTGAATTTTAGGAAAAGTTCCAGTGTTTCATCGTCCTGGATCACAGACCGCTTTAATTACTTGGACCCACAGGCTAATGAGGCTCAGATCGACAGGTTCGCTAGAGTGTGGCTCTGGCATTTCCTTGGTGCTTTCCTATTCCCAGACGCCTCGGGCAACACCAAGAGCTGGATCTTTCTTGACATACTACACCAGCCATGGGAGAACATAGCGGCGTATAGCTAGGGTAGCACAGCCCTGGCATGGATGTATCGACAGCTATGCGTTGCCTGCCGTCGCACCTCAGGGTATGCGAACCTTGGGGGTTGCTCCTACCTACTCTGGGTTTGGTGTTCGGAACGATGGCCCATTGGGAGGCCCCTTGCTACTGGTTTACCGGTAAGTACTTCGGTTCACTATATTCTTCGAGGCAATTACATATGATGAAATTATTAATGGCTAATTCATTATCGTGTTCAATGCAACAATAGAACGGGTAGGATACACTCTCTATAGCTCTGTATATCTAGATGCAAGCAGAGTTAGTTAGAGAGAATGCGAGGCGCAAGTACAGGGAGTACACGGACGGTCTCGACGTCCTGACACGGCACCAGGTTATGCTCTCTTTACTATCATACATGTGTCTTGTTCGATATACACTATATCACAACCTAACTCAATTATGAAATGTTCAGGTGCATTGGTGTCCTTGGGATGCTCCGGAGGTCGAGTACTATCTGAGTCCTATCACTAGGGATGAGTTAGACGAGTATCGCTGCAACGTCCCTCTTATTTTCTTCCACATGGTTGAGATTCACTTGCCCATTAGGGTTTGCAGGCAATTTGGAAGAATGACAGGCTACCCACCACCGCTTTACTCCACCAACCAAGAATTGTACGGGTGCGTTATCGATTAATAACAAAGCTACAATTTAGAGGGGTGTGTGTGGTACAACTAACAATCGTTTTGTTGCAGGTATGACCACAGGAAGAGGTACAAGACCAAGGATTGGCGCATGACACACAACGCGTACATCTAGTTGTGGCAGAACAGGGACCGGTAGCTGGTCCATGCGGGTCCCCCACATGACCAGCACACCTTCGATGAGTACCTGTGGTGGCTTTACAGGTCTACGAGGACACATATCAAGCCCTCGTACACTAAGGAGGCGATTGACAATGACTCAGAGGAAGATGTGATCGAAGATGTGTACGACGTTGCCACTAGAGACGACACACAACTACAGAGAGCCTTGCTTCAAAGATACATGGTAAGATACTCGAATGGTACAATTTGTTATCCATTTGGTATTAAGTATGTGTACTAAAACTGTCCAACCGCGTTTCTGTACACAGGTGACATAATTGTCAAGGATGTCCAACGAAGTAGCGTTTTGGCTTCACGAGTCTAGAGGGCAGGGGCCAGGCGTTCTCGAGGTTTTTGTGGAGGTAAATATAAACTTGTCCGTTCTGAAAATATTTCTTTAGTGTATATGCGTTTGGAAAATGCACTAACTTTAACGTCTATTTATGCAGAAGGTGAAGCAGAGCTGTAGGAAGCTAGCTCAGAAGCTGAGCTGCATGGACACTCCTTGGGTGGAACCGACAGTCCCGGCGCGGTCGGGTGGCACGTCTTCTGGCTCTTTGACGACACCAGCTGGCTCTTCTCAGTCGGTGATAGGTGCCACTTCTACAGTGCGTACACCGCCACATCATAGCGCTGAGAAGGACCCTACAAATGAGGACGACGATGACGACGACCGCCCAGGCTTCCACAGACAGCACCAGCAGTGGGACGATTGGCCGCAGGACAAGATCGGCATGTCTTAGCTAGGTGGTGCCCCGCTTGGTACCCAAGGAGCCTCACAGGTAGTAACAAAGGTAGTTTCTTTAAATACGTAGGCTCCATGAACTAACGATCATAAAGATTATAATGAATCGTGCATAGCATATACTTGCAGGGTACGAGCTGTACGCACCGGCAACGCGACCACACCGACGTTGGCTACACTCCCAATGTGTTGCCAACAAATCCAAAGAGACAGAGGCATCCGAGGGATCCTTACACTCCTGGGTCTTAGTTTGTTAGGTTGAACGAATATTGTCGTCCGAAACTTGCAGGCTTAGTTGGTTATGTTATGTCGAACCAATGAAAATGTTATGTGGCAGCTTGTCAACTTGCGCACGGACTTCATTTATTTGCTTCATATTCGTTTCAGTGCGTCGCGGCAGCACTGCCGGCGAGATTAACTAGCAACTCATTCGGGAACCGGCAGTCCCGGCGTATCTCGCCGCCGGTGGCCGGTGTCTTGACCCCGATCCTCCCGAGCTTGGTCATCGCCGCCACCAAATCGCCGAAGAAGGCACCCTGGTTGGACGCGCAGTAGTCGACCATGCTGCGCGACCTCAAGTCGGACTAGAGCACCTGGTCGAAGCCCACCGACGAGGGGTCGAGGAAGGCGAAGGCGTTGGGGTCGGAGCTGCAGGTGCCGTTCAGCTACGACGCGAAGCCGGGGTCCATGGTCGCGTCGCTGCCGATCATCTCCGATAGCAGCCGATCTTCTGTCTGCGTCCAGGTCCTGCCGCGTCGTGATCGGTGGCGTGGCAGACTCTGCCACGTCATCGGTCAGCAGCCCCGGTCTTCGCCATATCATCCTCCTGCCGTGCCACCATGCATGGCGCGGCATAGGCGTTTCGCCGCCGCGCTATGGCAATAGGCGCGGCTAAAAGTGTTAGTTTTGAAAAAAAAACAATGTTAGCTTTAAAATTAGTTTACAAAAAAGTGTTAAAATTAAAAAAAAATCCCAACGAACGTTGGGTCTGTAGGACTTTTTCTAGTGAAGACCTCCAGTAACATGATCCCATAGCTAAAGATATCACTCTTTCGCAACGCTTTTCCGATCAATCCATACTCTGAGCATAATAAGAGAATGTAAAGCATATATATATATATATTACTCTCTCCATTCTAAATTATAAGTCATCTAATCTTTTCGGAGAGTCAAAACATCTCAAGTTTAACAAAATTTTAGATAGGAGTCAAAGGAGAACTGAGAAATCCCGCTAGGGAATATACCTGACATATGCAGTCGAATTGGGGGCGAGCTCGCCCAAAAAAAACCACGGGTGCTTTGCCCCTGCCCTCTTGCTCGCCAAGGGTGCTCGCGGCCTCCCGCATGTGCTCCCTAGGCCGCTGAGCAGGTGCTCACCTAGGCCGCCGGGTAGGTGCTCGCCTAGGGTCACGTAGTGCTCGCCACTCCGCTGGCACACCCACGAGCTGCATGCGCCGTCGACCTCCACGCCGGTGTCGAGCTCCGCGATGACGAGCCTCCATTTGTGTCGTTGAGCTAAAAGTACATGTTGCAAGCGTATGTTTCAAGTGTTTTAGATGCTTCATCTGGAGGTTGCATATGTTTCACCTAGACGTGGCAAAAGTAGATCGATATGTTGCACATGTTGCAATGACTATGCATATATGTTGTAATTGTATGTTCTAAATGTTTCAGCTATTTTTAGAACCATGTTGCAAGTGTATGTTTTAAATGTTTTAGCTGTTTCAGACGTATATTGCAAGTGTTTTATCTATTGTTGCATATGTTGCAACCGTATGTTCCAAATGTTTCATCTGTTTTAGACGTATGTTGCAGCAAGTCCTCCATGTTACAAGTGTTTCATGAGCAGGCGCGGGAAGCGGGGCGCAGGCGGTCCCCACGGGGTGGGCGGGCGAGCAGCGGGGCTTGGGCGAGTAGCAGCAGGGTGAGCAAGGCAGAGTGAGCCTGCATGCGCGTCCGCGAGTGGGGGAACCAGAGAGAGCGTGTGGGAGACAGCCACCCGACGTGGGGCCATCACAGAGGCAGGGGAGCTGGAGGCTGGAGCGGTCGTTTTCTGCCAATCCATTTTGGCCGCTGGCGGGCCCAGCTAACAGCCGAGGAGGGAGGTGCGCTCCGCTAGCTATTCAACCGCACGTCCACGAGTGTGCAGAGGCGAGTGCGCCACGTGGGCAGCACGAGCGAGCACGCGTTCGGACACGTGCTTCTGTCTGGACGTCCGGATGGTAGTGTCTTCCTATTTTCTAAGAAGTCAAACTTTTTGACTTCAACTAAATATATATAGGAAAAGATATTAATCTCTATTGTACATTTCAAGTAGAATATGCCACGTGTCTTCTCGACAGCGTGTTTGGTACTGATCTGTTCTCCAAACCCATGTGGCACGCAGGTAACTAGGCAAGCAACGTACGGCTGCAATACGCGTCGCGCATGCACATGTTAGGTGCCACGCCATTTCCGGAAGCTTCTCCCACGCCCCTCGTCCTCAGGAGTCAGGATCCCGGCCATCCCATCGCGGTCGCCGCACTGGTCTCGACGAATCCGTGACGCCGACGTGGATTTGCTTTTGTACTTCTGGAATCGGAAAGAGGCGTGCGGTACTGCGGTGCGTGTCCAACCTCTTCCTATTGTTTGTTTGAAAAAAAATTGATTGGTCAGTCGAGAGCGCTACCTCGCCTATCATCCCTTCCTCTGCGTCGTCGTTTTCGCCGCCATGGACCTTGCCAACGGGCGAGACGACGCCCTGAATGGAGGCCTCGGTGTGGAGGAGGAGACAAGGAGGAGGCGGAGGAAGGTGGAGCTGGTGCAGGAGGCCATCCATGGCTTCCTGGAGGAGAAGAGGAGCGATGGCCAGGGAGAAGAGAAGCGCTTGACGGCCAGGCAGGAGGAGCAGGAGCTCCTGTCGTCGTTGCTCACCAAGGTACGCATGTTTCTGTGTTCCTCGTGTGTCTGGAACTCTGGAATCAGGATTGTTGCTGATGCTCTGCTGCACGCTGTTCGTTCCCTACGTTTTGCTCCATCCTTTCTCGATGCAAATGCTGAAATGACGTACTGCCACCGTTACCTCTTGGCAGTTGGGTGAACTAGAAAAAGACACAGATTCAGACATCTTGGAGCCACACTCCTCCCACCTGGATCACCACCAGCCTGCAGGGAGGAAAGGCGAACAGAGCAAGGAGGAGGTGGAGCTCGCTGACGTCGCCAAGGACCTGAACAAGATCAAGAGGCAGAACATGATCACCCACCTGCTCCTCGGCACCGTCATCGTCCTGACGGCCGTGTGGCAGGTCAACGAGGTGTCGTTCCTCCTCTGGGTGCAGAAGAAGCTGAGCAACCCCTTCAAGTCCCTCGGGGACATGATCAAGGGCTCCCTCATCAAGCTTAGAGGGAGGAGGCCGGTGCTCGAGTCGTCGCCGTTGCCGCTGGCCGGCGTCCCAGATGTCAGCCGGGCTGATCTGCCAACGCTTGTCATCGGCAGCACCGAGGACAGGGCAGGTAGATGAACTAGTCGTGTGGTGATCCTAGGATAAATTAAAATGCGCAGCAGCTGTTTGTTGCGAATAAAGTTTCACTTTGTTTATTCGTTTCACTTAAGGTTACGTGTTCGTCAAAGTTGAAATTAGCAACTTGTTTGCAACTAGTTCCATTAGTCTTCTTAAGGGTTTGTTCAGTTAATCTTCGATCCGAGGAGACTGAAAGAGATTGAGAAAGATTTTGACTTGTAGGGATAAAATCTCCCTCAATCCCCTTGGATTGGAGCTAACCGAATAAGCTCTAATGCGGCACGGGGATTGGTTCTTGAATTATGAACTGACACGCCAACATTTACCGGGAGCATAATAATGCCTGAGAGCCTCCCGTCTAGTATTATTATTTCTAGATTCTCGTATGCTGGCTCGTAAGATTCAGAGTTTCAGACAGTTTGTTCTCCCCAAGCAGTACATTGTGAAGTGTCAACTGTACGATGTCTCGAACTCTCGATGTTATGAGTTTGCCGTGAATGATCGCTTCAGTCTGGGATTGTTGAACAAGAGTGCCACATTATCTTGCCATTCATCACTTACTTTTTTCCATTCTGACCGGTGGCGGAACCAGTGGCGAAGCTCCAGCAAATGGGTGGGATTGCACAACTTCATCATTAATACAGTGACCCATAAGATGTTCAAACTAGCATAACTAATTCACAATTTTTAACATCAAAATTCAACTTCCAGTAATGGAGATGTGATTTTCGTCAAAACATAAGTAAATTGGTAGAAGCAAGGGCAACAACACTCACCGTTTATAACAAAATAAAGGTGACATTGACACTGTAGTGTAGTGAATAAAAGAATGCCAAATCGATAAACAAAAGAAGTCCCAAATAGCAAAAATATGTGATCCAGCTCTTACGCAAAAAAATGTGACCCAGCCTAAAGAGAAGAGAATAAATAGGTCAATTATTTGGAAGAGAAAATGTAGAATTATCTATTGAAAGTAGATGCATTGCTGACGAGATTTTAACATATGGGTATGTTAAGCCTCGGGATCAATAATTCCCGACCGAAGAGACCCCCGGCCGACCCCTCCAGGATCGTCCAGGGGCTCGGGGATATACCCACCGGGTACGCTCCTGTGCACCCTCAGACCAAGAAACTCGTTTGAACCTGAGCACGCCGCTGCCTCTACTCGGAGCTCGGAGCTCGGGGGCTCGCCTGAGCCTCAGGCTTCCGATCGACGGGAAACCTGAGTCCGGCCCTTGGCTCCTGCCCAGCCAACGACGCCAGCCAAGGTCCCCGCACTAGAAGACGCGCCTCGAGACATCGAGGCTCGGGGGCTCCACGACTTAGCGCTCTGGGCGTGGCCTTGCCGGCCGCACCCCTGACAGGGTCACACACAAGGCGTGACATAAGAAGACAAACTCTGCTCGGCCTCCGGGGGCTCGGGGGCTTCCGGGCCAGCGTGTTAGCCCCATGAGCCGACCTGGTTTACCACCAAGAAGACTCCAGAAGGTGTGCCTGGGGGAGGCCGGTCCAAGCCGACACAACCTAACACTCCGTGTGTCAGAACAGGCCAGCCGGACAACGCCCAGTGCTTCTTCGGCTCCACGACATAGCCATGGCCCAGAGAGCGCCGCTGCAAGACCCTCCTGGACTCCGGCGCATGTATACCATAGGCTTTTTGTAAACTAATTTTAAATCTGACACTGTTTAATTTTTTTTTTCAAAACTAACACTTTTGGCCACGCCTATTTTCATGGCGTGGCGAAACGCCTGTGCCGCGCCATACATGGTGGCGCCGCGAGAGGGATGACGTGGCGATGATCGGGGAGCTGACCAGTGACGTGGCAGGGTCTGCCACGCCACCGATCTTGGCGCGGATAAAAAGGGCCGCAGCCCAGTCCCGCCTGCCTACCACACCTTCGCCTGCCTGGCCGCTTGTCCATCGTGCCTTCGCGCCCACCGCGCCTGCCCACCGCCCCGCCTGCCCGCCTGCCTGCCCGGCACTCCCAAGTGCTGTCGGCGCCCGACCCTCTGTTGCCGCCTCCCTCCCTCCCTTCCCTTCCATTCCCTGGCCGCCTCCCTCCCTCCTCGGCCTCGTTCAAGGTAATGACGCACTTTTTATTTTCGTTTGAATGCTGAATTGAAATATTATGAATGGGAGTTAAAGTTAGGAGGAAAATTATGTTTGGGAACTATGTGCTATGGTTTGGAGGAAGATATTAGTTTGATTTTGTCGATGTTAAGGTTAATTATTTAGTTAGAAGTATGTTTACCATATATATTTTTATTGCTATAAGTGTTGGTTATATTATTTGAGTTGCAATGCAAATGCTTATATTTTACATTAATTTGCGTTGTTTTGATTGATGTTTAATTTGAACCGTTTTATTAGATGGAAGACATGTTTCGAGAGCAGTTGTGGCGAAAACGGGGTCGTCATGGAGAATTGTACCCCGACGAGTCTAGCAAAGATGCCCCCGTCCCTCCTGACCTCCCTATCCCTAACTGTGACTGTGGTCGTCCAGCCGACGTGTTTCAATCGAGACATCCGGACATAGCGGCTCGTTGCTTCTACACATGCAGTCGTTTTAATGTAAGTAATTGTTTTTGTATGTTTTTTCTTCATTTGTATTACTAGGTTACTAATATTTTGTTGTGTAGGCCCATGAGAGGTGCTTTTCTTTTTGTGGATCGACGGTGCAGACAAATTTGACCCTAGGTACCTCCTTTTCGATGATTGGTGGAGAGGGCGACATCCACGAGAGCACTTCGAGCGGTGGGTTCCACCTCCCCCTAACCCCCCTCCAATCATGGCTAAGGAGAAGCACTTAGCCGTAGTTAGATGACTCGAGGAACCTCCTCTATGTGATTGCGGAGATCGAGTTGTGATAAACCCTGAGAATACGTTGAAGTTTATGTGTCCAAACAAGCATATAGTAAGTGCAAAGTGTATGTGTTCAAATGTTGAGCTATATGTGTTCATGTACTAATGATACCATATTTAGGTGTTTTTAATGGCAAAGTGTCGTTTCAAGGAGTGGTTGTATGGTCCTAAGAACCAATGGCCGAAAGAACCGCCAAAGGTTAAGGAAAAGAAGAAAGAAAAGGTAATTTACAAAGCACCTCCTGTCATGTGCGAATGTGGTGTTAAATCCAATTATGGCTTAGTCCCTTCGGAGCTTGGAATATGCCATTATTGCGGCCATATGTTTGACTATGATGAGGTTGGTTATTTTTATGGTAAATATGAAATCATATTTTGTTTCTTTTGCTAATACATATATGATATAATTTTTTGTTTGAACAAAGCACTAGGAAATGCAGGTGGGAATGTTATGATGGTCAAGCTAAGTTCTTGGATGAACTGAAGGGGAGGCAAGTAATTGCACGAAAGAGGGGATATGGACCTGACTACGTCAACCTATTCATTAAACATCATAAAGACAAGATGCGTGAGTTTGCTAGACAACGCGGTATTTGTAACCTGATCGATGTTGGGCTTGGCAAATGGGGATTGGAGAGACGGATGGTGTTAGAGGAGGAGAGAGCAAGCAAGGAGGCAAGGAAGGAGACAAGAGTACAGATGCAGGTCTTGAACGAGCATGTTGTTGCATTATGTGCCAGTGAGTGCTTGAAAGCCATTTTTTTCGTTGCCTGATTTTAAATGTAAGTGATCCCATCCGTTTGTCACCCTCCGACCCATCCATTTGTCGCTCTCCGATGCATCCAAGTTTTTTTAATAATAGCGAATGCGTTGAGAATTTCTAAAACAAACATAATTGAGTGAAGCTTGTTTTGAATACGGTTGGCTGGCATATATATCTTGCATGTTTCCCATGTATTTTAAAATAGTATCGTGTAATTTATGTTATTAGCATCAGATCAATGTAAAATAACAAGGCCCATGGCGTGGCACGTTTGGAAGATCGATGTTCTCATTTGGCATGCAACCCTAAGCCTAGGTTCTACCACGCCATAGCCCACGGCGCGGCAGTGACGCGCCAAGGCCCACGGCGCAGTAGGACCAGGACGCAGACAACAGCCAACCAGCCTCAATTCCAATTGAACGGGAGCTGCTGTCGGTGCTGTAAACAGCTACAAGTGTTGCCGCGACGCATTGAAATGAATATGAAGCAAATAAATGGAGTCCGTGCGCAAGTTGAGAAGTTGCCACATAACATTTTCATTGGTTCATGAGTCTACAAGTTTCGGACGACAATATTCGTTCGACATAACTAAGTCCTAGGAGTGTAAGGATCCCTCGGACGCCACTGTCTCTTTGGATTTGTAGGCAACACAGTAAGAGTGTAGCCATTGTCGGTGTGGGGCAAGGGCACCTAGGCATCGTTGTTAGTCAAGAAGTGTGCTCAGCACGGGTCGTCGTACTCCACCTCAAGAAGGGGGTACAACAGGTGCTGCGTGGGAGGGGCCATCCTGTTACAAATTGATAAACAGAGGGTTAGAGTATTCAAATTAACAATATTCAAATTAACATTATGTAGCATTGCAAAATTTGAACTACTTGTTATGCAATATGAACACAATATAAAAGCACATGTATATATTCAAAATAACATTAACAATATGAAAGCACCTGCTGCCCTCGTCTTCTATGCATGCTTTCCTTGTGACCATGGACTTTACAAACAGAGCAAAGATTCCTACCATGGGTCTCGTTGAAGTCTCCCCCTCCGTACATGTCTTCGTCGTACCCTCTTATAGCGTCCATATCCCCCTTGAGTCGCTTCTTCTTCCTCCTACCCTTCCCTACCTTCATTAGATCCGGATGCGGCACGTAGTCATAACCATTATAAGGTGGCCACTGTGTTGGGTCAAGGTATGGCTTGAAGCTCATCTCCCAAATACTAACAGTGTTCAAACGTAGATACAAGGGTGACATATATGGTAGATCCTCATAGTTGTACCCGCGAACCCTACAGGCCGTGATCATATGAGAGCAAGGGGCATGCATGATCTGAGGGACGTTGCAACTGTACTCTACCTTTTCAAGATCAACTCGG